AACTACAGCAGTCGCAATCCTCTGATCTCACATGAAGCATCAGATCGCAAACCCTCGGTTGTAAGGGCCGAGGGGAAGGGGTAGGGTACAAAAAACAGAATTGGGATTGGGCCTTACAGTGTTGGCATTGTTTTATGCCTGTTAGGTTTGCACAACACATCATTTGAACATCGATATCGCAATGAGTCATCACAGGATTAGATTATTTATTAAAGATTAAAACACAGATATTATTAAATATGATTATTTTTTGATTGTTTATACCACAGATGCCCAAACTAGGGCCCGCGGGCCAAAGTTGGCAAATGGTAACCTTTGCAGACTATAAGACAATGAAAGTGTTTTTTGACCTTGCACACATATCAGACTGTTTTTGGAGAACCCCGAACCCAAAATATTACCTTTTTTTAATGCATAATAGGGGCTCTTTAAATGGTGTACATTAATTCGGTTTAGTTTAACTGTTCATACTGTCACCAACAATGCAGAGACTTTGGTTAGCAAATGAAGTCAAAGGCAGATTTTGCTTAACTAGTGTATTCAGCATTGAACTCCAATGTGATTGTTTGTATTTATTGCAATAAGTTTTAAAACTCATCCTGCATTAGGTAATACGATTTCAAGAAACGTTTTCTATTTTGAAATATATTGAAAAAGAAATAGGAAATGACCTATAGCAACTTTAATGTAATATAGTTTGGAATATTTAACTGCAGCCCACGGCTCTCTCAATGATAGTTAGTTTTTGGCCGTTCATACGAAAAAGTTTGGTCACCTCTGGTTTATACAATGCTGACTCTGTTATTTTTATGTTTGATTGTTCAACTTCTGTACCTGAATACTGTTAGACTCCACAGAAAACCATTAAGCACTGTTTATTTAACTTCTATCTCTCCTCAGTTGTATTAACACATGCTTGTAATTTATTATAAGTTATTAAAACAGAGTAGAAATAGACTTGATCATCTTAATCTATCTAAATGAATGGGATCTTTCCAAATAGAGCTATTCAATTTTATCTGGTGAAATTATATTCATATTGCAATATACAGTTGAAGTCAGAATTATTCATTGTCATGAAGACAGTAAATATTTTATTTATTTAAAAAAACATTTTCAAGACACTTCTATACAGCTTATAGTGACATTTAAAGGCTTAACTAGGTTAATTAGGTTTACTAGGCAGGCTGGGGTAATTAGGCAAGTCATTGTATAACGATGGTTTGTTCTGTGGACTATCGAAAAAAAAAGTAGCATAAAGGGGCTAATAATTTTAACCTTAAAATGTATTTTAAAAAATTTAAAACTGATTTCATTCTAGCCGAAATAAAGCAAACAAGACTTTCTCCAGAAGAAAGAATATTATCAGACATACTGTGAAAATGTCCTTACTCTGTTAAAAATCATTTGGGAAATATTTAAAAGAGAAAAATAATCAGCTCAGAAATGACAGAAGCTCTCTAAATAACAGATTATATTTAAAAAGTGCAACTTTGGACCAATTTGTACCAAAGCTTTTATTACAAGGTGCAGTTCACAATCAAAGTCAGACTATTTTTCAGACATGCCATGTGTGAACTTTTAAACCTACTGCAAAGACCGGGACCATTCATTCAGAAGTCTGTGTGGACGACTGACGGCTTAAATAAAATGCGGATACGACTAAAAGGACTTTTGTTTATCGTCAAACAAAATAAAACAGCACATTTATAAATGACAGAACCTGCGACTGACAACACAGGACGATAACAGGATAAAAATGAAAGAAATCTATGTACAGTATGAAAAAAAAGAAGTCAATCTTGAAAAACGAAGTCTGTGAAAAGACCCAAGGTGACCATAAAAACGTGCTATTCAAACCAACTGCCTGCAAATAAAAAGCTTCAAGCTTATTACTCCGTTTATTTCTAAGCTAGCGCTCAAATGGCATCAGTCCTGTTTTAGAGAGCTAAACATGATTTAATAAATATATACTGGGTATAAATCTAAACCACTGCAGAAAACAGATGACTTCCAGTTAGAGTTGTGCGATATGGGCAAAAGAAACCTATCATGATTTTCTTGAACAATATTACGACTGATTTTAATCACAATTTTGACACACACAGAAATTTTACAGTGTGAATCTGAGACATATTTCCAATGGAAAACAATTAGATCTATCAAAAAAACCTGTACCATGTCTCTTAAACCTAAAAAAAATAATAATAATCACCTAGTGAACAAACTGTCTCTAGAACAGACCTATGGCCAAACAAATAGGCTACTGTGTGTTCTATTTGACCATATATCAGAAGTAGTTGCGTGAACTTTTCTCCATGTCCATAGACCTCTTTGTGACGCTGCTAGGAAATAAGCTGTTCAAATATCGCATCTTTTGCGTTTTTCCAATGAAGGCGCACGGCTTGTGTGCATATTGGGAGTGACACGCTTGCATTTTTTCCAGGTGTGCCCAGTTGAAAACATTGAAACTTTTCAGAATGCCAAATTGTGAGTCACATAAGTTAACAACAACTGACCAATCAGCTTTATATTTTGTACATAATATACAAATTTCGGTAGACTAATTACCCTAAAGTACTGAAGAACACAAAAAAATGTTACTGTATGGCGATTTAGAAATGGTACATGTTCAAAACTTATATAATTTTAATACGATTTCAATTAATCGCATTGGTCTACATTCAGTACACTAAAACAAATTACATTTGCTGTTTGTTCAAACTACTTATTTAAAATGAGCTGAAACAACACAATTCTTGAGTTGTTTATTTTTTTTGGGACAAAAGTTACTTGCTTAATGTTATCTCAACATGAATCAATTATGTGGAACCCAGCATTTGTACAGTGTATACTAAGCCATATTAAAAAAAGAAAGATTAAAAACTGAATCATAATTAAACATGGTAATTTACATGGCAAGAGGGATGATTTTTAAAGTGGTAATTAAACCAAAAACTCAAATTGTAGCTACATAAGAACTGCTCAATCACCTAGAAATATTAGTTCAGAATTTTTTTTTCTTGTACTCCATGTGGAGACACATGTAAAGTATTCCTCTCAATAATCCACCAAAAAAAAAAAAAAACTAAAAATATGTGGAACATATCCACAGCGCCTCATGAATATTTAATCACAGGTGCTGTTCATATAATATTTATAGAGTGACTGGAAGGTTAAAATTAGGTAAATTGGGACACTTTTTGACAGCTGTTGCAGTGTTCAAATGTGGTTATATTGTACATAAATTCCGGCATAATTTTTATAAATAGTATAAATATAATAATAATAACAATTTAAATATTAATATCTAACAGTTTGTTTTAGCATCACTTTTTTCACAATGTCCAGAAAAGTTTGAAAAGCTCTTAAGAA